TTCTACTATTTTCTGAATATCGTATTAAGTAGAGTTGTTGCTGACCGCCAGTGCCAGAGCTATGGGTCTTTCAATTTCATGTGATTTACATTAAAAGCCAGCGAAATTTCTAAGCAAGCAATATTTGCCTGATTAAAATTTAAACCGGCGTCAAACGCTGCTTTCTTTTTGAGAATAGAATTTACCTTTTGATTCACCAATATCCCCTCACTGCAGTGTGCCTTATCGACAAAGATTTTCCGATTTTTCCGGCGGTTAATAGCAATTTTTGTCGACAATTTGTCGATAAATTGTCGACAAAGAGCATTTTTATCGACAAATTTATCGACAAATTGCCGATAAATATTGTTTTTTATCGACAATTTGTCGGTAATTTTTCGATAAATTTACCGGTAAATTTGTCGATAAATTTGTCGAAAAGGGCGTTTGCCGACAAATCATTTGTCGATAAGGCACACTGCCTCACCGTAGCTTCAATTTTGATTATCTCAGTTCTTTTGAACGATAGCAAAAAACCGTCAACTGATAAAATGCTCCAAATGTCAAGAAAAACATTCTGGCAGTTGACAGTTTGGTCATATGTTTCAGAAGAAGTCCGATAATTGAGGTTAAAGAGAGAGAATGGGAATTATAAAATGTTAGAACGAATTTGGTGTTTGAGAAGTTACCTCTAGTCTTCCATTAGTAGTTATTGTGATTATGTCTAGATCGAGGTTTAGTTCAAAAGTAGTTGTTTAGCTTTTCAGAATTTAAAGTTTTAAACTTTGATTTTCGGGACTTCAGAATGCAGGTTTCAAAAAACTCCGAAATTTAGTGATCTTGACATTTTAAATTTCAAAAATTTAGGAATCAAAACATTTTTGATCGTTCAATAATGTAAAGCATGACAGTACAGAAACTCCAAAAATAGTTTTTGAAAAACGATGAAAACACTGAAATTTCGAGGAAATTCAAAAATTCTTGAATCTTGAAAATTCGAAGTTCGGAGACTTTCAGGAAAGTGTAGAGTTTCATGAAATCCATAAACTTTCAAAATCACACAAAGACTTTTTAAAATTCTGAAATTCTGAAATTTCGGAAAACATTTTTCAAAAGCTTCAGACACCAGATTTTCAAAATTTCAAACAGAATTCCAGAAGTAATCAAAGATTTCAAAGGACTAAAAACTTTTGAAAAGCTTGAAAAATAAATATAGATTTGGCCCTTTTAGAAAAAGTGAAGAGCAAAGCTAAGAACCATTCAAGACTAAATTGAATCGCGCCAACGGCGCACCAGCTTGCTGGTATCAGAATAAATTGCAACAAAGTTGAAAGTTGAAGAGTCCTTCCATAATCCTGTTTTTTGGCTATTAGGTTGATGAAATAACCCAAAAGAACTTCTTACAAGTCAGCAACTTCTTCCGCCACCCATTCATTTTTTTTTCTCATAAGGAAATCTAATCTTCCTACGCGTTTTTATCAGCAAAAAATCCGGGGAAGGATGTCTAGTGACATATATAACTTAAACGATGAGTCAATGAAAAATGTTCAGCTTGAGTGGCGGAGATTTCTATGCTTAGATGTGTGGAGTTTATTAATGATATGTTTTTATTTTTAGGAAGTTTTAAAAAAGTTAAGTGGGTGTTTTTAACTTTTTTGAATTTTTTAACTTTTTGGAATCTCTTAATTTCTGAATATCCTCGAATTTTGTAAATTTTAAAGTTTCTGAATATCCGAATTTTAGAATTTCAGTTTCTTTGAATACGAGCTTGCTGAAAAACACACATAAAAAGATTTATTATTATCCGTTTTTGATATATTGATCCCATTTCCCAGCTAATACTTTTTCCTTGTTTTTGATTCTTCCTCCTCTTTTTTCCCTTTTGATTCGTGGGAGGATGTGTCCTAGAAAATAGAGATTAGTGACAAAAACCAATAGGATCCTTGTGTCATCTCTCTTTTTTTTCTTATGAGCTGAAAAAAAGAGCAAGTCTTACTTTTTTTTTGATGAGCCAGAAATTATACATATTTTATTCTTCTGCAATTCCTGCTTTTTCTGAAAACTTCAAATTTTTGGAACTTTTGAACTTCTGAGTTTCTCAATTACTAATTAGTTAAGGATTTTAAAATGTTCAGAATTCTTGGATATTTGGAATTTCAGAAATTCTACTTTTTGAAAAGTTAAAACTTATGCCTACCGTAAAACCTGTATTAGAAGGGCCGGCCCTTCTATTGTTCCAAAGTACCTCCGGAGGGCCCTTCTATTACAGGGGCCCTTCAATTAGAGGGGGCCCTTTTATTTTTCCGGCCAGTTTTTTCCGAAATTTCACATCAAAAAGTTCAACGAAGTTTTGTTCAAAATTCATGAAAATCTGCTAATTTCACCAAAATTTAGCAAGATTTTCATCAATAAATAGAGTTTCAATAAATTTCTATCAAATTGTGGAGCTCCCGGAATATTTTCCACTGAAAAAGTACAGAAATTTTCTGATTTCAAAACACATTTTAAAGGGGGGTCCTTTTTCACAGAGGGCCCTTCTATTACGGGGGCCCTTCTATTACAGGGACCCTTCTAATTTTCCGAGCACCTCTCAGAGTGCCCTTCTACCAGAGGGCCCTTCTATTAAAGGGGTCCTTCTATTAAAGGGGCCCTTCTAATAATACAGGTTTTACGGTATACTGAATTTTTCTGCATTTTCAAAAAGTTTTTGACTTTTCTCAAATTTTCAATCTTCTGAACTTTCTGAATTTCTCTCTGTTTTTTTTTAAATAAAAAATCCGTTATTTTGAAACTTTTGAGCATTTGTGTTTCTTAGAACTTTCAAGTTTTTTTTTCTTTTTGATCTGAATTTTTCAAGAAAAATTCCTCCAGCTCGATCAGTTTTCGTTCTATATAATTCAATTTTTCTATGTGTGACTGATCACTTTCCAAAAAAAATTTCGGAGAGAAAAAAACTAAAAACCAAAACATAAAAAATTGAAAGTTTATGTAAAATTTCAAAGAAACTTACACATGAGTGAATCTAGAATCAAATTTTACTGATTAATTTGGAGAAAAAAAGTTGTTGTACCGTAAATAGATATTTTTGATTTGTAGATTCTTTTTCAGAAAACTATGAAGAGAGAAAGTTCAGGATTTTCAAAATTTAGTGATTCCAAACACTCTTTTCCCAATTTTCCAGTACATAATGACTCATTTTTTCAAAAATATCTCAAAAATGACGCAATCATCATCTTTTTTCTTATAAAAAATAGATAATCATTGCTCATCAGTTCAACTCACTGAGTCTAAAACAATAACCATGTGATTTTTCATTTTTATTTTTGTTCTGCTTATCCTTCTTTTTTTTGAGAACTAACCAAAAATCGCCTGTTCTCTAAATAAGGAAATCCCAAAAAAATGTTTCTGAAAAGTTAGAAATTTCGAAAAATTGATTATCCAATTTTTTATTTTCGGAGTATCACTCTAGAAACCTCAGAAACTCCAGAATTATACAGTTACAAAGTTATAAACAATTGAAATTGACAGAACATTCTAAAATTCTGAAATTCTGAAAATCTTAGAAGTTATAAAAATTTTATGAAGTTTAGATAATTCAAAATTTAAAAACTTTTGAGAAATGAGAAAATTCATAAATTTAACATTTCCAGAAAATTCAAAAATTTTGAAATTTCAAAAAGTTTTAGAAGCTTGAAATTGGCAGAAAATCCTAAAATCCTATAGTTTTGAAATTCTGAAAATTCCAAAGTTCTTAATTTCTCCAAAAAAGTCAATTTCCCAAATTTCATTTTTGGAAATACAGAAAAAAAACTAACTTTTATGATTTCCCATTTTTCAAGCGGTCCCTTTTTGAAACCAAAAAATATCTCTCCTAGTTTCTTCAAAATTTATGTATTCCATTTTTTTTCTAGTTTTCTATCCCTTGAAACATTTTCTCTCCAACTCCATTATATTTAATTTATATGCAGTGAAAAAATCTAATAAGATTTCCTGATCAATTTTTTATTTTATTCCATTTTTCCTCTTCTTTTTCATTTTGTCCCTTCAGAGTCAGCAGAGTTGCTCTAGATCTCAAAAAATTTCAATTCAAAACATTTACAGCATTTGAAATTCAAATTCCGCTTGTTTAAAACTTCGAATTGAGTATTGGTACCAGAAATGTATAATATTGACGCCAAAACTTTAAAACTCAAATTTTGAAAAAGTTTTTGAAAATTCAGCTTAATGAGAGCTCTAGAATGAGTATAAACAAGACATGGTACCCGAATTTTCGAATTTTACCGCCAAAACTTGAAATTTCAAAATTTAAACCCTGGAATTCAAAATCGGCTTGTTTAGAGGTTCAAAATGAGTATGAACAAGCCGGAGTTTCAAATTCGAAAATTTCAGTTTTGGCGGGAAAGTCAAAATTTCAAATGATTTCAAATCTTCAAAGACTAGGTTCTGGTTTTCTATGCCATCATGTGATGGATGTCCAGTAAAGTCATGTCTTCTCAATATTTCTCTTTTTTTTTCCTCCCCATACGGATATTAGTTAAGGATTAGCAATGTGAAAACGAAGGGGATTTGATAATCATCCCATGTTACTACATCCAGCAGTTGGAGATGCTTGCCTGAAAGATTATCGATTTTTTGGGTCTCTTTTATGGCTCATTTTAGAGTTTTCAATACTATATTTGAGTTTTAAAAAGCGAAAGTTTGAATTTGGAATGTTTAGAGCTCCAAGATATCAAATTCCATTTTGAAGCTATTTTCAAAACAAGCCCCGCCCACTAAAATAGCCAGCAAGTCTGCGGCGCACAATCCTTATAATTCTGGGTTTTTCTGCAATATTTAATTTTAAAATACTGTAAAACTTTTACACTAATTGTAAACAAAATATCTCTTTAATAGAAGTGCACCTCTAATAAAAGAGCCCTTTTGAAATATCAGATTTCCCCCCATTTTTCCCGGATTTTTCTTGCATCTCTTTTTTTCAACTTCATATTCAAATATTTAAATTTTCAGGGTTTTATCGAACCATGAGCATGGAAGACGGAGATGATCCGTCATGCTACATGGTTCAGGAGACAGCGTTCGATTATGAGGACGCGTTTAAGGACTTTAATGAAAGTATGACAGCCAAGGATTGCAATTGCACACATCCGTTGCACAAGTTTTTGGAGGTAGCTCACTTTTTCAATTTTTTTGTTTTAAAATGAAGAGCTCAAAAAGATCTACAAAATGATATATAATTTGGGGATGAATGAGTACAGTAATACCCAAAAAACCTCTAAACAAAAATTACCTTTCTATTAGAGGTCAAGTTTTTTGCGGGGTTCTGTGAAAATCTCTGTTTTTGAACACCTGATTCTATGGGAATCTCGAAATTTGAGAATCTTAGAATATAAACTTTTTAAAAATTAGATCGATGACTTCGAAATCCCAGAATATCATTTTCCAGGTCTGCGTCTCAAAATGTCATGTTGCCGATGACACCGTATTCTTCTCAATGACCGATGAGGAGCTCTTCGAAATCGCACTTCCCGGCTTCCTCTATTTGACGGTTTTTCTAGTTGGAACTATAGGAAACTCTATGGTAATTTTGTTTTTCTGTTTTTTCCTGTTTTTTCGTATAATTTTAATAGCACTAGGATCATTGTGACCGGAGTTATGGCGGCTTTGAAGGTCCAGATATATTAAATTTGTCTCGGTTCCTGTAAAAGATATCGAAAATCCGTCAACTGATAAAATGTTTATCGGGATATCACTAACATTTTTTAGTTTTTAGATGTTTGATATCTATCATATTAATTGAGATAATTGAGCTCAAAGTAGACCAATTGAGAGGAAATGAAATTTGAAGTTTAAGCAGTCGCTAATTTCGAACTGATTCATCTCAGCTCCTGTGAGAGATATGAAAAAGTTGTCAACTAGCAAAAAAATGTTGATGATCAGAAAAATATTTTATCAGTTGACAACATTTTGATATCTCCCACAGAAAACGAGATAATTAAGCTCAAAAAAAATAATAAAAATCACTATTTTTTTCCAGGTAATTTTTGTTGTGAATCGCTTTAAACGAATGCGAAACGTTACAAATGTGTTCTTGGCGTCGCTGAGTACTGCCGACTTGTGTCTAATCTGGTTTTGTGTGCCTATAATGTTCATGAAGTATATGTCCCATACATGGTCGATGGGAAGGTTCGCGTGCTACTCTGTACACTATATACAGCAGTTTACGTGCTTCTGTTCCGTTTTGACGATGACTATGATAAGTTTTGAAAGGTGAGGAAACTTCTATAATCTCCAGAAAATTCTGAATTCATCTGAATAATTTTGACCAGAAATGAAGCATTCCAACCCAATGTACAGCGATTTGAAGTGTTTTTTAAATTTTTTAAAAATCACCGAAAATAGTTTTTTTCTGGTTATTCTAAAAATGAGTTTCTAAACTGGGAACTGAAGTTCTAGAAGGTTAAAAATGAAAGTTTGTTCCAGATTCCTCGCCATCGCCTATCCGATGCGAAACATTTGGTTCTCCTCCATAGGACGTGCTAAAAAAGTGATATTGCTCATTTGGATGCTCTCCGCATTGTTAGCAGTCCCAACAGCCGTTCGAATGGATTACGAGACTAATTTATCGTTATCCGGACAGCGGGTCCACTGGTGTAGACGACGATTTCCAGCGATGTTTTTAGGATATTCTAGGATATCGTTGAATAAGGTGTATGCAATGTATCAGGTAAGTATACGCCTTTAAAGTCAGTGCACTTACTGTAACTGGTTTTTCCTCAAAATACCGTAAAACCTGTATTAGAAGGGCCCTTTTAATTGAAGGTGTTCTAATAGAAGGGCCCTCCAAGAGGGTCTTGGAAAAATAGAAGACCCCCCCCCCTGTAATAGAAGGGCCCTCCAAAGGTACCTTGGAACAATCGAGGGCCGGCCCTTCTCTTACCATTAACTCTTCTTAACTCGTCGTCTTAACCTTGAGCCACTGTATCTCGTGTTTTATAAAAGCTATCAAAAAGCTGACAACTGATAGAAACAAAGTGTTACTGATATTATGTTCATCATAATATCAGTAACACTTTGTTAGTTTTTCACTTTTCTCTAGTTATCACGGTTTTGGAGATATGGGCCTTTGAGAAGTACCATACTCCCGAAGTACTCCTGCTCCTCTCAATAATGAAAAGAGCGGGGACACGGTATCTTCAAAGACACATATCTCAAACCCCGTGATAGCTATCAAAAAGTTGTCTATTAAAAAATTAAGCTCTCGTTTTGTTTGATCTAGAATTTCAAAGTTCAAATTCCCGCCATTTTTTTTTGAATAGCTAACTTTCAGCTCCTCCTTCTCATCATCTTCCCTGTGCTGACCATGTCCATATGCTATGCACGTGTCTCTGCAATTGTCTACAAGTCATCTAAAGATCGAGTGATACTGTCACAAGCAATGTGAGTTTTTAAACGCGCTCCACTGATAAAGCTCTGCCTCACTTTTTTAAAAACTTTTATCCAATTTATCACGATCTTTGTAAAGGATATCAAAAAGTGGTCTAACATAATGTTTATCATATCTGGGGGCTTCTATTACAGGTCTTACTGTAACCAAAATTTTCAGGGTCGCCTTCTCGAAAGCCGCCACCGACGCCGTCACATTTTCCGGCTACTCGGCTATTCCAATGATCACGACGTCTCGAAATCTGAAAACTGCAAACACCACAATCAAATCATACAGTAACCATCGAAATAACCGAGTAGCAGAAGCAAATAAGAAACAGGTATTTGATTTTTGATTCCACTAAATTTAGGAAGTTTGAAATTTGAATTTCAACGATTCCTCTTCACCTTGTCGTAAAATATTCGAAAATTTTCTAGAATCTCTGGAAAATTTTGGAGAAATTTGTATAGTTTTCATTTGAAAGGGCAATTTTGAGTCCTTAAACCCATTGATCACATTCTAAATTAAATCAAATTTTTCAGATCGTTCAAATGCTCATCTCAATCGTGTGCATGTACACCGTCTGTTGGCTGCCAACCATCATCGACGAGCTACTCACCTCGTTCGGATACATTTGCCGAACATCCAACACTCAAACTCTGAAACACATGCGTATGGGATTTAACGCGTTGACGTACTGCCAATCGTGCATCAATCCAATTCTATATGCGTTTATTTCCCAAAATTTCCGGTCTACATTCAAAACTGCGTATGCAAGAATGAAAAATCGGTTGCAGGTATGTATTTTTTTTGATTGGCAGTACGTCAACGTTTCGAAATACCTACGAAAGTAGTTCAAAATCTTTCGATTTGTCTGACATTTCTGGAGTATACTAAACAAAAGCGATGCTTTAATTTTGTAATTAAAAACTTTTTGGCAACTAGCACCGTTTTTGAGATACATGTATGTGTCTTTAAAGTTGGTGCACCACGCCGCTCAAGAAACGGCGCGCCAGCTTTAAAAGCGCATATCTCAAAAACCGGGCTAGCTACAAAAAAGTTGTTAACTACAAAAATGAAGATCTATTTTTGTTTAACATACTCTGAAATCTTCAAACACATCTAAAAATTCTGAATTATTTTTGTAGGACTTTAAATTTGCTAGTTTTCAACTACTGTAAACATTCAGGAGTCTCTGGTGATGAAATAAACACGGTAACTAAGCATGGGTTGAGGTGTTTTTTTTTGGTTTTCTTGACCACCCGACCTACCATATTCTCAATATTTCAGGGTAACGAAGAAATGCGATCTCGTATGGGTTCGTGCTCGTCGGCTAGTATGATGTCGACACGCAACCAACACAGAATCTATGGGTCCAGCTTCAATACGCTTACTGTACCAGGCCGGTCTATGATAACGCCGAATATGTCACGAGACGTATCACAATTGTCACTGTGCCGTCCGATATCTCAAATGTCTTTCTGTAGACCCAAGAGTCCGATTGCGGCGGATTCACCTTCGACGTTTATGAGGTAGGTTTGATCTCTGCGGTCGGGAACAGGGCCGTGGCCCGGTCTGTGGGTAGGTTGCCATGGGCCGAACCGTCCGTTTTCTCGATCTCTAGGCCGTCGAATACTACCCATAACAGAATCAAAAAGGCGCGGCCCTGTTTCCGAAGCCTTGGACTTTTTAAAAATCTTGATTTTTTAAAATTGGTCTTATCGAATTTGAAAAACTTTAATGATCAAAAAGGATTATTTCCAGACACCGCCCACGCTCGCCAACCGATGTGTCCCATGACTCTGGGCGTCCTAGAAGCCCAACGGATTTATCGCAATCCACAAAACCATCCAGGCGATCTTCTTCGATTCGGTAAGTGCTCTTTGAGCTCGATTATTTCGGTTTCTTTAAGAGATATCAACAATCTGTCAACTAACAAAATATTGCTGATAACATGATAAACATTTTATTAGTTGACAAGTTTTTGATATCTGGTGTAGGAAACGAGATAATTAAGATTTAAGTCCAATATTTGGCTAGGAGCCGAAGCTGGTTTTTATATGCTCAGTACCCTAGATGACAGGTTCCTGTAGACGGGTAGTATCAAAATAAAAAAAATTCCCCTACAAAAATGTGTCCTTCAAAGAATAATGTTTACTTGTCAAGCATATGTGCCCCTCGCGCACGTCCAATCACCTCTTTCTAGCAAGCAAAAAAATTGGCACTGTGCCAAAAACCTTCCCCTAACAAAAAAGGATTGATTTCAGACCGCGCAGCCCAACATCTACATCGCAAATGTCGGCAGTGGTGCGATCGAGAAGTCCGACTGGAGCGTCGGACTGTTCGTCGTTGTACCCACCGGGGTAAGTTGCTTCAAAGTCAAAATCTTTTAAGTCCCGAAAAAGATGTCTGGAATTTATCCAATGGTTTTGAAACATCTGAACTTTACAAGACTAGAATAGAGCTTTGTTTTTGTAGTTGACAACATTTCTCTAGCTATCATGGTTTTCGAGATAGGCGCCTTCGAGTTCGGGCGGCCAGAGAAGAGGCCCGCCAACTTTAAACTCGCATATCTTAAAAACTACGATAACTAGAAATTGTCAACTACGAAAATGAAGCTCTTCCTTTATTTTGCTTAAGTTAGAAGCTTCAAAACGATTGGAAAAATTTCAGAGACTTTTTTATGGGCTCAAAATAGGTTAAGAGGCGCACCAACTTTAAAGGCACATATCTCAATAACTACGGTAGCTAGAGAAACTTTGTCAACTACAAGATGAAGTTTTTCAAACTTTCACAAAAAACTTTTGCAGTTCGCGAACACGAAGCCCAACACTACAATCGAATACCTCTGCCCAATCCATGGAACGTACAGCGGACCGTCTGAGTGTTCGTGACGCCGTACGACCCAAGACGCCACCGGCGGTTGCTGTCTAGACATCTTTATTCTAACTTATAACAATTTACTTTCTGTTTTGGTCTCCCTAGCTAAAAATTCAAACCGCACGCTTCTTTTCCAGAGGAGCGCGGTTGCTGAGTCCGAAAAATGACCGTAATTTCAGCATTTTTCGCGCTCTGCTGAACAAAAAAGTTTGCAGTTCGAATTTTTGTTTGCAATATTTATTTTTATCCATGTTCCTCCCTCCTTTTTTTCTAAAACTCTAAATCTCTTTTTCTATATAATACTTCAATCTGTAAATAAACATGAGCCGTATGACATCCAATAAAAATCGGAAAAAAATTCGTTTGAACTTTTTTTTGTGGTGAGAACAAGTAGGAGGAGGAGGTGAAGCCCCCTACACACATAAAGAACAAAAGACGAGAGAGTGTGTGATTTGAAGAGAGCGCAGAGTTTAGACATCTAACTGTGCTTGTCTAGCGGTATGTGTCATGTAGCAAGTGGAGATTCGGCATGCTTTTTTGTTTCTTTAAAAGTTTTTTTGAGAATAAGCAAAGTTTAATAGAGCCTTGATGTTACTTTAGACCAGAAATAGAACCGAAGAAACTTGTCATAGCCAAAAGCGCGCATTTGCCTTTTCAGAAGATTCAATTTTTTCCAAACTTTTGATTCCATATTGGGTGTCCAAGAAAATTTTGTTTCCGACGAAAATTGCACGAAACTTTGAAAAAAATCTGCATTTTGTCGTCATTTGTGCTGTTTGATGGAGAACATTCGAAATATTCCGCAATTTGTCGTCAAATTCGGCGTATTTTCTGAAATACCAGTTCTAAACCGAACTTTTTTGAATTTCCAGAAACAAAAAAGTGAGAATTTTCTGAATTTTCCATTTGCCATCAATTTGTAGCGAATTTCGAAGTGTTCCGTGGATTGTCGTCAAATTCGGTGTATTTTTCGTTCAAATTTTCAAAATTACTTTCGAATTAAAAAAAGTGACACCTGAGAATTTGAAAACTTTCGTTTTTTTTATCTACGAAAAAGTGCGGCAAAAACGTAATATTTCAGAATTTCAACTCGTTCGAGCTACTTTCGCGTTTAAGTTTAGTTTTTTTTGCTGAAGAATAGATTCTAGAGATGCTAACGATCATTTTTAGACCAAGAAATCAAAATTTTGTTCAGAAAATCCCACTAAATTCACACAAATAAATTTGTTATCTACCGTATCCGTTTTCGCTCCGCCCCCTCGTAAATCGACACGAGCGCCGTCTCCGAGATTTTCAGGTGTCACTTACGAGAATTTTTCTGAAAGTCTGAAATTTTCTGTCATTTTTTGATGTTTTTAAAATTGAAAATTGAAAAAAACCTTTTTACTGAAAAAAAATCTTCAAGCGAAATTCCAAAAATTTCCGCGAGTTGGCGTCAAATATTGTGCATTCTTTGCAATTCAGTTCGAATTTTCCGATTTCCGACAGTTTCAGCAAGCAACCTCGAATTTCAAAGAATTCCCTTGTTTTTTCACCGATTTTTAGCAGAATTTCGAAATTTCCCGCAATTTATCGTCAAACTTTGTGTTTTCTGTGCAAACATCGCCTTGCCAACTGTCAACGTTTTTCAGATGACATTTTTCGGCTTTTTGTTGCGTTTTCCGGTTTGCACCGTATTTGACGCTTAAAAAATGTTACAAATTCAAATTTTCCGATTTTTGATGCGAAAAAAAAGTTTCAAGCGATCTTTCCTATCCTTCTGCCTTGTCTTTCCGATGATAAAAAACTGTACTCGAATTTTATGACTTCTTCTTCTTCTTCTTTTTTCTCTGTTCTTACCCCCACGAAAAAGCCAAAATTTTTTGGTCGCGATCAAAATGTCACCTGAACTTTTTAAACAGAAAAAAGTCATTAAAAAAAGAAAAGAAACAGAAAGAGATCTCTAGTTTTAGATGAACTTTGGCCATTTGTTGGAGAAGATTCCCGAAAATGAAGATATTGGAGACGTTGCTTCAGAAGTAGATAAAGAAGAAGAAGAAGACGTTGACGATGATCTTGGAGACTTGGCCGACGAAAGTAGCTCTTCTGATGAGGAAGACGTCGTCAGAAAAGGGACAGGAGACGTTGTTATCGTCCCGATGACCACTTCAGGATCATCTGCTCACGACGTGAGTCTTCTGAATACTAACCAGCACATTTTCTTCTGAATTTCGCGCTTTTAAAATTAACACAATTATTTTTTTAATCTCGAAATTCGATTCTACTGAAATTTTGTTTGTTTTCGATTTTCCAAAAATTTAAATTTTTCAAAAATCTCCATTTTTCGAACATTTCAAATTCTTTCTAGAATTTTTCGAATTTTTGCGAATTTTTTTCCTGAAAATTACGCTTTTTCACAATTTTTCGATGAATTTCTTGATTAGTCGAAAATTTTGTTTTTTTTAATTTCGATTTTCTACAAATATTGTTTTTAAAGGGGGACTCCGACCAAAAATTTTTATTACATTAAAATGTGTTAATATTTATCTATTTTTCAAATATTATTGCGAAAAAAATTAAAGAAAATCCGAAATCCCCGAAAAACGGCGTTGAAAAGGAAGAAAAT